AAAAGCACAAGCAACTGGGACGAAGTGAGAGAGTGGCATGGACATATATACACTACCAAATGTAAAATCGATAGCTAGTGGGGAGCAGCCAAATAGCATAGGGAGACCAGCTTGGTGCTTTGTGTCCACCTAGAGGTGTGGGATAGAGAGGGTGGGAGGGAGACGCAAGAGGGAGGGGATATGGGGATATATGTATATGTATAGCTGATTCACTTTGTTATACAGCAGAAACTAACACAATAATGTAAAGCAATTATACTCCAATAAAGATGTTTAAAAACAAGCCCAAGCAACAATAACAAAAATAGATAAATTAGACTTCATAAAAATTAAAAACTTTTGTGCTACAAGGTCACCACCAAGAAAGTGAAAAGACACCCATAAAATGGGAGAAAATATATGCAAATCACATATCTGACCAGGGACTTGTATCCAGAATATATAAAGGATGCTTACAACTCAATGATACAAAGACAAATAATCTAATTAAAAAATAGGCAAATAATTTGAACTGATATTTCTCCAGAGAAGACATACAAATGGTCAATTAAACACATTGTCTTAGTGTGTTCAGGCTGCTGTAATGAACTACGATAAACTGGGTGGCTTAAACAGCAAACATTTATTTCTTACAGTTCTGGAGGCTGGGAAATCCAAGCTCACACGTCAGCAGATTGGGTGTCTGGTGAGAACCTGCCTCCCGATTCATAGATGGCTATCTTCTTGTTGTGTCCTCACATGGCAAAAGGTGGAAGGGGGCTCTCTGAGGTCTCTTTTATAAGGGTACTAATCCCATTCATGAGGGCTCCACCCTCATGACCTAATCACCTCCCAAAGGCCTCACCTCCTTATACCATCACACCGCGGGTTAGGATTTCAACATAGAATGGGAGGGGCACATAAACATTTAGTCCATTGCAAACATGAAAAGTTGCTCAACATTCATTAGGGAAATAGAGATCAAAACCACAATGAGATACCACTTCACACCCACTAAGATGGCTAGAATAAAAAAAAAAGACTTGTTAAGTGTTGATGACGATATGACACATTGGAATCTTCATATATTGCTGTGGGATGTAAAATGCCAAAAACAGTTTGGCAGTTCTTCAAAGGTACCATATGATCTAGCAATTCCACTTCTGAGAGAAATGAAAACATACGTCCGCACAAAAACTTGTACACAAATGTTCTCATCAACATTATTCATAGTAGCCAAAAAGTGAAAACAACCCAAATGTCCATCAGCTGATGAATGAGTAAACAAACTGTGGTATATCCATACAAAGGAATATTATTCAGTAATAAAGAATGAAGTACTGATACAAGCTATAGCACGGATGAATCTTAAAAACATGCTAAGTGAAAGAAGATAGTCGCCAAAGATCATATATTGTTTGATTCCATGTGTATGAAAGGTCTAGAATAGGCAAATTTATAGAAACAGAAAGTAAATTAGTGGCTGTCTGCAGCTGGAGGTATGGGGTGGGAATGAGGAATGAGTACAATGTTTCCTTTTGGGGTGATGAAATGTTCTAAAATTGGATTATGACAGTGGTTTGCACAACTCCTTGAATATACTAACAACCATTGAATTGTAAGCTTTAAATGGTGAAGTTTATGGTAGGTGAATTATATCAATAAAGCTGTTAGGAAAAAAAAAAGATCATGTAGCTAGTAAGTGGCCATGCAGGATTTCAAACCCAGTATCTGGAAAGGTGAAGGTATTCAACAAATGTTTGTTGAATGAATGAATGAATACCCTTCACTTTCAAATTAGCAACAAGATAGGGATACCCTCTACCAAGTATCACTCAACATTGTTCTGAAAGCTCTAGCTAATGCAATAGGAGAAGATGAAGTAATCAGAATAAATATTTGAAAGGAAGAGAGAGTATCATTGTTAATTGGATGTGACATGATGTTATATCTAGGAAAACTAAGAGACCATAAAAGGCAACCATAATTCACATGAGAATGTGATAACTGGATTGGATAAGAAATAAAATGCAAAAAAGAAATAAAAAAATTTTTATTTATATAATTTTTCTATGGAAATAGAGAAATGTGCTATTCACTGTGATGATATCAAATTTAAAATATTTAAGAATGAACTTTTCAAAAAAGGTTCTGAATCTATAAGAAGAAAATTATAAAATATAGTTTTAATGGTTGCTTTTGAAGTGAAATAAAATGTTTTTAACATTCATGTGGAAGAATAAATGCTAAAAAAGATTAAAGAAAACAACCAAAAAAAAAAAAGGAACAGTGAGGGGATTAGCACTATTCAATATTAAAAGTATTTCTAAAGTCAAAACAATTTTTTGAAAGGGAGTAGATACATATATCAGAAGAAAAAATAGAGTTCAGAAATAGAATGATATACATTTGGGAATTTATGTGACAAAAGTGGCATTTAACTGAGTTAGAAAAGGCTATTTATTTAATGATTGGTGCAGGCAAATTTTCTATCCAAATGGAAAGTAGAAACTTTGATCTCATCTCACACCACACACCAGAATTTTCCAGTTGGATTACAATTTAACTTTAAAACAATAAAAATTTAAATTTAAAGCATGTATTTATTTAAGCACAAAGCAGGGAGAACCCACTAGGCAAGACACGATATTCAGAACTTGTTAAGGAAAAATTACCTAATCAGATAATTATTTTTTCTAATTATATGTGAATACACCTTTCAAAAATCAAGATATAAAGAGAGATAAAGGGAAAAAATTACAATAAATGACAGAAGGTTAATATCCACAAATTAGTAAGACAAACTACATAAAGGAAAAAAAAAGACCAAAGGATATGAAAATTTTTAAAAATACATTTCAAAGGCCAATAAATATGAGAAGATATTCAGCCACCAGGTGTCAGGAAAATGCACATCAAGGTAAGCTACATACTGTTGTGTTTGGCCCTCAGAATGGCAGAAATTAAAAAGTGCAGCAACATTCAGTGTGGGGGATGATTTTGGAATGAGCCCTTTTATATGTTGCTGGTGGGAGTTGCAATTTTACAAAAGTTTTGGACTTAAATTTCAGTACATACCATCCACTTCAAGGAACATCCATTCCTGCACCTAATAATCACTCAGATGACAGTCTCTGGCTATAATTTAGAAATCAATAACAAAAATTACAACTTTTTGGGAAATGAAAATCTCATATCTAAATAACTAAGGGATCAGAGAGAAAACCACAAGAAAAATTAGAAAACATTATTAATAAACTGTGGTGGAAATGTTACATATCAACACTTGTGACATGGAGCTAAAGTGTTCTTAGAGAAAAATTCATGAACTTAATGCTTATACTGTAAAAGAAAATGATTGAATATTAATGAGATAAGCATTCAATTTAGGAATTTAAAAATAAGAATAAAAGAAAAAACCCAAAGAAAAGAAATAATGAAATCAAGGGCAGAAACTAATGACACAGAAAACAAAGATACAGGAGGACCAAGAAGGTCAAAGGTAGGTTTTTGAAACAATCCCATCTCAATCCTAAGACCACCCACAGAGCTCCATCACTCACACCACAGAAACCTTGACCATCCACCCAATAAACCCCATCATATACCTCATAGACCCTGCAACACTCATCCCGCGGCCCTCATCACTCACCTCAAAAATTCTCCATCTCACTCACTCATTCACTCTCCATTACTCACTCCACAGGCTCTCCATCATTCATTCCACAGACCACCCATAACTCTCCTCAAAGACCCTCATCACTTACCTCACTGAACTCCCATCATTCATCTCACAGACCCCTCCATCATTTACCCCACTAACCCCCTATGACACCCCACAGAACCCCCATCATTCGCCCCTCAGGAACTCCAGCACTAACCCCAAAGAGCACACATCACACCTCCGAGACTGTATCACTCACACCACAGTCCCCATTCCTTACTGCACTTACGCCTGACCACTCACCCCACAAACCTCCATCGCTTATCCCACAGACCCAGTCACTTACTCCACATACCCCATCAGTGGCCTCCGGGGATCTTCATCACTCACCCCACAGACTCCTCATCGCTCACCTCACCGATACCCCCTGCTCACCCTATAGACCCTGCATCACTATGACCCCACAGACCCCCAATACTCACCCCACAGACTACCTATTACTTTCCCTACTGCCCCCACCATTCACCCACAAACCCCTATCACTACGCACCTCCTCATAAGTGACTCCAGAGAAGCCCCATCACTCACCCCACAGAGTACCATCACTGAGCCCGAAAGCCATGTCGTAACACCCCCATAATTATGTCAACGTTTTACTGGCCCTAAATCGCCGCCTCTGTTAAACTCAGTCCCGGAGCCAGAAGTATTGAAATTGCCTCTGCGGGACTCCCACGTTTCTGGACTTCGCACCGCACATGCTTAGTGTCGGCGCGGAAGCGGCCGTTAGCCCCCAGTTACACTGGGTGCACTCACGAGGTGTCAGTGCGTGTGCGTGTCTGTGTGTGTCGGAGGAGAGGCGGGCTTGCCGATTTTCTTTAGTGACTTTGTCAGGCCACTAACATGGCTGTCCCCTTGGGAGTGTCTCTCCGGGAGTCGCCATCTTGGGAGGGTGGGCATTTCTGCTGCGCCGGAGCCAGCGGGACCCCGCCAGACCTTCCCCGGTGGGACTTCCCGGGAGCCGATCGGGCCCAGCAGATCCGGCTGCAGATCCCGGACTCCTCCCTCCTGCGCCTCATGCTCCACCATTACCCCGAGGCGCGGGCCTGGCGCCTTCCCTTCTCTGTGCTCGGGGCCCCGCCCTCAGGCCGTATCCCCGGGGAGTCGCGGCATCTTCGCGCGTTGCAACCCCCCTTGCCCCTCTCCCCGCTCCTAGCTAGAAAGACACCTCCAAGGCACCGGCCCAGACACTGACCGGCCCCCGCCCCAGCCGCCGCTCCACTTCTCGGGGTGCGGAACGGCCCCCGATCGGCGCAGGCGGCTCGCGGCGGCAGGGCCCGGGGCGCTGCTACGTGCCCACCTGACGGCGCCTCTGTCCACCCGTCGGCTGGGGGCATCGCCCGGCTCTGGCTGTCACCGACCCTGGGTAGTTGCCACGGGGGGAATAGTACGTGTCAGATTTAGGCCAGGAAGCGGAAGTCGCCCGCAGCGAGAGTTTAACCACTCTGGGCGCAGGGAGCTGAGGTGATTGAGCGCCAGAAACCAAGCATCTGTGCAGGGAGCCATTGAGCTGGGTGGGTGGGTGGGGGGGCTTGTGACATCAGTGGTGGGGCACGTCATCCAATTTTTTAAAAACTCGAGTAATCAGCCTTCCCAGTTTCCTTATAGAAGCATGAAGTTTAAACTTCTTTTCCAAAGATCCAAGTTTTGATTTGTTGCATTTTCATTAGTGTTCAGTTTCAAGTGCTATTTGTAATTTTCCCCCCTTTGATCCAAGAATTATTTAGAAGTCCAGTGTCGAACATGCAAAAATTCTCCGAGACTCAAATGTCAAGGGAATGGTGACTTTATTCAGGCTGCTGCGACAAGAACAGCCCTGCGCAGTGTCTCCTGCAAGTTTGGTGGGCTTTGGCCCGCAGGTGGAATGCTGCTGAAGGGAGCTGTTTTTGATTTGGCCCATCTCATTCTGTTGTATCCTGTTCTCATACTTAATGATTAAAGAAGGAACTTAGAGGGAGTGCAGAAAAGTTTACAGTTCCTAACACCATTTTTCATTTCCTCAAACACAAAGTTAATCTCGATGTTAGTGATTTCTAACTTAATTGCACTGTGATCTGTGAATGTTGTCTGAATGATGTTGAGTCGGAATTTGTTGAAATTTGCCTTAAGGTTCAAGTACAGGCCTAGTTTTCAAAAATGTTTCATCTCTTGATTGAAAAAAACATATATTTTCCAATAGTTGGGTTTAGCGTATATGTTTATTGGTTCAAGCTTGTTAGTTGGGCTGTTAAAAATGTGTATATTGTTCCTCTTTGCTGTACAACTGAAACTAACACAACACTGTAAATCAACTATACTCCAATAAAATTTCTTTTAAATGTGTATATCATTCCTGATGATTTTCTTCTGCTTGCTCCCTGAGTTACTGAGATTTCCCACTGTATTGATAAGTCAGGGTTTCATTTCACTAGTCAATTTTTGCTTCCTATATTTTTAAGTTTTATTATTAAATACAAGTAAGGCTATTGTGTTGTTGAATAGATACAGCCAAATAACTTCCCCAAAAGATTTTTAACATTTCCTACTCCCACCAGCAAAATATGAGTCCATCAAGGCAAATCTTCTCTAGCACTGAATGTTGATACTCTAATTTTTGCCAATCAGAGGGCTAATTTAACTGCTTTAATTTGCATTTTCCTGACTACTTGTGCAACTGAAGATCTTTTTCTGTTTGTTGACCATTTAGATTTTCTCTTCTGCAAATCTTCATATCCTTTGTCCAATTTTCTTTGGAGTGATTTGTCTTTTTCTTATCAATTTGTAGTAGCTCTTTGTACACTAGGGATAATATTAAATCTTTGTTAGTTAGTGGCATTGCAATATTTTTCCCCTAACTCTTTTTGCCCTTTGCATTTGTAGTTGTCCTTTGATCTTTAATTAGAAAAATGTATTTTTTCATCAAAAATAAGTTTTCTTTTCTGGCTTCTGTATTTCCTGTCTTGTATGGTCCCCATTCCAGGTAGTCCTAAAAAGATAGTCTTAACATTTATTTCATTTTTATTGTTTTAAATTTTTCTACTTTAACTTTTAATCTAGTTGAAATTTATTCTGGTATATGGTATGAGATCAAGGTCAAGCTTCACTGTTGCTGCATCAAATAAAAACAAATCTAGAATTAGATAGGGAGAGACTAATTAGAAAGAAAGACTATTGCAATAGGGAGAAAATTCCCATCTCAGAAATCTGCAAGCATCTCAAAACCGAACAGAAAAAGGCTTTTTGTTTATAGATAGGGTAAGGAGGAGGCAAGCCAAGATAAGCAGAATCTGTGGAGGAGAAGCTGCACAAACAAGGGAATGACTAATGGGGTCTGACAGGAAAGTGCCCACTGTGGTCAGCTGATTCCCAGGACAAGCTGAGAAGAGGGGCACATTCCACATTTTTTGTGCTTGCTCAGGCTTGGGGGCAAGCAGAGTTCAGGAACCTGTAGGAAGGAGAGAAGCTTGGCTAAATTTTGGCTAACAAGCATTTTGTTGAGATTAATGAATGTTTATAAGGAAAAGAATGAGAATTTGGAGGGTCTGTGTCTGGTCATGTCACAGGTAAACAAGGGGCGCCTGTGAGTCCAAAGTCATATAGGGAAGGGAGGTTCTTTGCAGTAAGCAAAGAGTAACACACAAGAGCACAAAAGAGTAAGGGAGGATCTCTCTGGTGGCACAGTGGTTAAGAGTCCACCTGACAATGCGGGGGACACAGGTTCAATCCCTGGTCCAGGAAGATCCCACACATGCCATGGAGCAGCTAAGCCCATGCGCCACAACTACTGAGCCTGTTCTCTAGAGCCCACGAGCTACAACTACGGAGCCCGAGTGCCACAACTACTGAAGCCCATGTGCCTAGAGCCCGTGCTCCACAACAAGAGGAGCCACCACAATGAGAAGCCCGCGCACCGCAATGAAGAGTAGCCCCCGCTCGCCACAACTAGAGAAAGCCCACGCACAGCAACGAAGACCCAACGCAGCCAAAACTAAATAAATGAAAAAAAAAAAAGAGTAAGGGAATTTCTTAACCTTCATTATTTACCAGAATCACAGGGTTCAGGTAAAATCCAACATTATCAGCTAGCACAGTTTATGGAAGTTACTGCCCTATAGGCACTGAATTAAATGTCACTTCTGTCATATAACGTCACAAATATATTTAGCTTGATCTGAACTCTATTGTGTCTCTATAATCTATATGATTTCAAAGGATTTTTGTTCTTGCAGATCTATTTTTCTAGGAACTCTGAAGTTCCTAGAATCATTTTATGAAGTTTCAAAATGAATGCTACGCACCCCACAAAACCCTCCACAAAACAAAACTATTGTTATTCTGATTGGAATTGTATTATTGGGTAACCCGAACGAACTTTTTGGCCAACCCAATATATTAATAGTTTGGAGAGAGTTAATGCTCTTTATTATAATAAGCCTTTGTATCTAGGGATTTGATCTGTCTCTGATTATGTCTTGTATTGTATGCTTCAATGATATTTCATAGTTTTCTTCTTATAAGTCCATCATCTTGTTTGGTTAAATTGATTCTTAGATATTTATAATACTTTTATTGTTATTGTTAAGACTTCTTTTTGCTAATCCTGTCTGCTAACTGCTAGTATTGTAAGAAAAGACCTATTTTTAAAATGTTATCTTATATTCAGCTCCTTATCAAAACTCCCTACCAATTCTGGTAGCTTCTTAGTATAGTCTCTTAGGTTTTCTAATTGTATAATCATATTAGATTTAGTTAATATTCTCTTTTATCTGCTATTTGATGTCATTAGTTCTTTTTCCACTGAATTAGCTATCCAATATGGTAACCACTAAGCTTACATGGCTATTTAAATTTGAATTTATTAAAGCTACATAAAATTTAAAATTCAGTTTCTTAGACACCTAGCCACATTTCAAGTGCTCAATGGCAGCATACGGCTAGTTGCTACTGTATTAGGCAGCTCTCTCTATATAGAACACGTCATCATTGTGGAAAGTTGTATCAGACAATGCTGAGCTAGAACCTTCAAATTAATGTTGAGTAATAGATGTGATAGAGAGCATCCCTATGGTGTTGTCACTTTTAATGGAAATCATTTTATCCATTTTACCATTTAGTATAAAGCTTTCTGGCAATTTTTGGAAAATGGTTTTGTCAATTTTAAGTCGTTTCCTTCTATTTCTATTTTGAGTTTTTATTATTAATATAATGGCTAATGAATTGTATCACATACTTTTTTATATCAATTAATAGTGTTACATGGCTTTTCTAAAGTGTTGGTGTAATGAAGTATATCGATTGATTTACAAATATTAAACCATACTAGCATTCCTGGAATCATCTTAATGGTTATGGTGTATTTTTTTTCTCAAAACATATCTGGATTTATTTGATATGCGGATATTTTATTTAGAAAAGTTTAGCTATATTCATGAAATATTGTCTCTAGTTATCTTCTTTTTCGAGCAATATATTTCAGTTTTGGTATTAAAATTATTCTCTTTTAAAAAATAAATTGGGAAACTTCCATCTTTCTCTATGAACTGGACTCTGTAGACCCATTTAGTCCTGATTTATTTTGGAAAGTATTTCTTAATTTTCAGCTGGTTAAGATGTTATGGTGATATTTAGTTTATTTCTGTTTTTGTTGGCTCTATCAGAGAATATGATCTGCCAAAGCCCTACTTTTAAAAAATATATCAATCATTTCTCTGAGGCAAAGTTAGACAATTGAATGTTTTTTAATGTTGCAAGGACATAGGAGTAGAGAGTCTGCTTGTAAGATACAAATTGCTTTTTATGTCTTTTAAATGTAGCTTATTGATTATAATTTTCAGATCTTTCTTACCTTTAATTATTTTTGTTAGCTTGATCTATCATACTCTGAATGAGGTATAACCTCCCACTATAAATTATGAATTTAAAATTTATAAATTATGGATTCTTAACCGTGGTGGTTAAGAATCCATCTTGCAACTCAGGGGACACCGGTTCGATCCCTGGTCGGGTAAATAAAATCCCACATGCCGCGGGGCAACTAAGCCCGCGCACTGTAACTACTGAGCCGATGCAGCCAAAAAATAAATAAAATTTTGTTCCTGGGCTTCCCTGGTGGCGCAGTGGTTGAGAGTCCGCCTGCCGATGCAGGGGACACGGGTTCGTGCCCCGGTCCGGGAAGATCCCACATGCCGCGGAGCGGCTGGGCCCGTGAGCCATGGCCGCTGAGCCTGCGCGTCCAGAGCCTGTGCTCCGCAACGGGAGAGGCCACAACAGTGAGAAGCCCTCGTACCAAAAGAAAAAAGAAAAAAAAATGTGTTCCTTTTCTATGAATTTTTTCTGGTGTTATTTGTGTTTGTATAAATGTTTATACATATTATATCTTCATCTAATGTATACTTTATTATTACATAATGTCTCTTTAAAAATCTGTTGAATGCTTTTGGCCTTGGAGTTTAACCTGATAATTATATCATCTGACCTCCTTTATTCTGCTTGCATTTACCTGATGTATC